GAGGGTGCGCGGCACTCCAAAAGGTAATAAGTTTAAAAAAAAAAGAATGAGTTCATTCATCTTGTTAATAACTCAATTGCAACGTTAGAAAATATTAAAAGTGCAAGTATGATCACTTTTAACTATAGTATGACTACGCAAGTTAGTAATTATAATGCCAAATATTTCATTCTTCACAGGTCCGGCTCCAGACATAGATGACAGAGGCCAAGGGTGCCAACTTAATGAAAACGTTAGTCACATTTTTCTTATAAGCGATTATAAACTGGTGAATAGGCCGGGGTAAAATATTAGAATAGTGTTTTCAAAACAGAAACGAGTGCCTGAACTGCTTCATTCATGCATCGCATGGGTTAGATGAGTTGTGGCATATGAATAAGTAAAGGCTGAAACGCTAATTTCCTTAAAAGAAGGAACTGTTTCTTACATCTTATCTTCAAAATTTCATCAGTCTAAATTCAGCTTTTGACTACTCTTCTTATTTTCTTTATGCGAGACAGATATTTTTCTCCCAAAATCGATTTTTTATTTCGTCATCTAAAAAATAAATCTGTGATTTTAATTTTACCACGCGTCTTTGTTATTCTAGTTATTTTACTTTTGTATAGTAACTTGCATTCAAAACCATTAGAATTCGACGAAAGAAATAGGAATGTTCAGATATGAACATCTCAACCAAGCTCTAATATATAAAGAAAAGAGGTTTCAAAGACACTGCTGGCCATTAAAATTGCAGATTAGTATTTCAGCGCATTTAGACGACGCAGGTGGGAGAAACGACATTTGAAACACTGCAGAAAAGAAAAGTTGTGTAGTGTATTTCCCATTCAGAAAGCCCTTTGTAAGATCGAAGTTTGCTCAAAATATCGGTCTATTCCTCGAATAATAATAAGAAATGCTTACCAGCAAGTGTCGGATTTCGATAGAGGCAGGATCATTATCTATCGAGAGTGTGGATAATCGTTCCGTGGTATTACCCGTCGCACTGGTCGGCATTCAACCACTGTCATCAGAATATGGAATCAATGGGTTGCTGAGGGTCATACTGAACGGCATGCAGGATCTCAACGCCCTCCCATGACTAACGCCCGAGAGAGCAGACATATTGTGAGGTCAGCCCTGCAAAACCGTACAACCACATAACGGACCATTAGTCAGGAAATGGACATGTTTGCAGCACCCCCAGTATCACAGTACGGTGCGTCGACGTTTGCAGCAGCGTGAACTATCAGCACGGCGACCTACTTCGGCTTCCCTTGACAATGCAGCATAGAGAGAGACGGCGACTCTCGTGCGCTGTACGACAAAGCTGGATACAGGAATGGCACAATGTCGTCTTTTCAGACGAGTTCCGATTCTGCTTGTAATATTTTGATGGCCGTATACGTGTTAGAGGTTTCGAGGAGACTGCACGTCGCCTGCTTGCATTCGATATCGGCATAGGGACTCTGCACCAGGTGTGATGGTTTGGGCAGCAACACGACACGCACATCTCTAGTTCGGATCGACGTTAATTTGAACGCAGATCAGTACATTTCTGAAATGTTACGTCCGATGGTTGTGCCCTAGGTCTGGCAAACGCCATCTTCCAACAAGATAATGCAAGACCACATGTTGCACGTCGTATTCTGACCTTCCTCGATACACAGGGTATTCGATTGCTGCACTGGCCTGCACGGTCTCCAGATCTGTCACCCATTAAAAACATCTGGTCATGGGTTGCAGAGAGACTGGCCCGTCATCCGTCTCCTGCTAATGCGGTTGATGAAGTGAGGCATAGACTTGAAGCAGGATGGAATGAGTTGCACATTTCTGTCATCGAAGTCCAATTCAAATCCATGCCTAATCGGTTTATGGCCGTTTTTACTGGTTTCCCACCCCTGTAAACCCCAAAACTGCTTAGGAATTTAATCACTTTGTCTTCATGCTGTACTGTTTACGTACAATAAATAGCTTTTTTTATAGTTGCTTTCCTTCATGGTGTTGCAATTTTAATGGCCAGCAGTGTATATTTCCTAATCCACTTATAGATTAAGACATTCTTATTGTGACAATTTGCAATATATTTAACATAAATGATAACATCTAATAATATAAATACTGACGGTATAATATCAAATCGTAGTGGATTTTCTGGCGCAAAACCTTGAAGTTCATATGCGCTGAACAAAAGTCAAGCAAAAGCACAAATTATAGCTAAACACAACAGCAAAACTATAAAATCAAAAGAAGTAATAAAATGCTGAATACTGTAATGAACAACCGCCAAAATCTCAGATAACGATTCTAGAAGCAAAACAAGACTAAATCAACAAACATGAAGTGGTGGTAGTGGGTTTTTGGACACAAAATCTTAAAAGTTATATGAGCCGGACACTTGTCAGAAACTTTAAACCCAAACTAGATAAAAGCACAAGTTATACACCATCAAACACACAAATTAAAACCGCAGGAAAACCATAAAATCAAAGAAGTGATAAAATAATGAATGCTAAAATGAACAACCACTTAAAACTCAGATAATGATCTCAGATGCAAACCAGGGCTAAAATAAAAAAAAATAAAAAAAACAAGAGATATATTAAAATACATATTTATTATACGACCAAAAAGAGCTTCAAAACAAAATCAAATTAGATAATAAAAACCTTTCTTTTCAAGTAAAATACAAAATAAATTAGCATTAACCTCTTTTCCAATTATACAGATGAAAAGGCAAGTCACAATCGTTAAAATGCCTCAATTGAAGTCTTTTAAAATGCGGACACTCTATTAAAAATGATGAAAATAAATTAAAAGCTTAAAAATAAATGAAAGCGCATAATAAATAACATTTAATTCTGAGATGAGAACTGACAGGGTCAAATAGTTTGCAAACGCATCTCGTAAGAACAATTAGCCGCTAGTTAGATGGATTCTTCAGATCTTTGCCTTGCTTAGGTATAAGAATAGGACAAAAAGGCAACAGAGATGATGAAGATACATGGAAAAATTCAAGAGCATGAAATGCAACTTGTAGGTTCATGGAAGTAGGTATCCTGGCTATTATTGTAGAGACAAAGGCAATGATCTTCAATTATTTGCTCAGTTTGTCTACCTCAAAGATTTGTATCTCTGTTTCCCCAAAACACACTATATACATTAAATTCTCCAGCAATAATAAAGGGCTCTGGCAGCTACTCTATTAAGTCATTTTTGACTGACAGCTTCATTCGGAGGCAGATATATGGAACAAACAGAAACTAACCCTTTTATGTTAGTCTGCATAGCAACGGTTTGAAGGGATGTTGTTAATGGAAAGGCAGCTGACTGATAATCACGTGAGGTGAGAAGGCCTACACCCCTACAGGCACGTTCACTAACAACCTTGTCTTTTTTTTTTTTTTTTTTTTTTTTTTTTCTGTTTTGGTAAAAGTATACCTTCTAAGCCTGGCTTGGTTATCAGCTTTGAGAAATGTTTCCCGTAAACTGAAGCATATTGGTTAAGATATCAGTCATGATATCTTAACCAATATGCTTATATTCAAAAGATATTCAAATGAATCTGGGGTGGATACCACAACAAACTTGATATTCAAAAGAATTCAAATTAATTCTTGATATTCAAAAGAATCAATCTGGTGGATACCACAACAAACCATGAAATAAGAATGGCAATTATGAATACTTATTCCATAGATGCTGCTTCTTTGTCAGGGGTAGAAGGAGACCTTTTGGAAATTCGAGTCTCATATCAACCTTTACATCATCGAAGTCAAAGCTCATACTTTCAAGTAAGCTGTGACTCAGACTCCTACATTTGACAACAGCACTTTTGGATTGTTCCAATGCATTAGATTGATTTGATTTGGTGGTACTGTTTTCTATAGGTTATCTCTGTTACTTTGTTCTGAGTTGCATTACTTTCTGTTAATTTGTTTTCAATTGTATTAAATTTTAAATTCTATTGTTTTAAATTTAGTGATATTTTCTAATTCATTACTTATCTTTTTACACACAATGCTTAAATTGGTTTGGATTCCAACTGTTTTGACTATTCTTACAGCATCAGTATATAAATATTCAAGCATGGCTGTGTACTAGCTACAATTCTACTAGCTTCTGCATATGTCATGTTTTTAGTCACTTTCAGAGACTTACCCTAATTACTTAAAAAGTAATTATTTACAGAAGGAGATGATTCACTAAATTAATAAGATACTGACTGACATAAGTTGATATTATAGTTATGGATTCAAACTTTATCAGAATGGCATGTTCATAACAGAAATTTCAACACTTTCAAATAATCTTGAGTCTGCTTCTTTACATGCAGCTAAAATATTCTCCAAGCAGGCAGCCCTAACCTTAAGCAGAAAGCATTCAAGTGCTTTGAAATAATTAATTATTTTAGCAGCCACACAATTGTTAAAATCTAGAATAAAAATTGAAGTCCTAGTTTAAGTGGAAAGATTTGAAACAGTATTCTAGAATTTCAAATAAGTTATACTGACATGTTTCACATACTTCAGAAAAGTTTCCTTTTTTATGTACCTAAACATTCCATAAAAATACATCAAGCTACATCATTAGTTTTATTTCATGCAGATGTGATTTATTAGAAGTACAAAATTTAAATTTTGAAAAATACTATATAAATTAATACTGCCTTTAACACATCCTTTACTCATAAATTATTCTTCTTTAAAATTCAAATCTTTAGTTTATGCAGACCCTCAAAATATGATTCTAAGGCCTTGCAATTCTGAATTTTTCTCGTTACTTTGCTTTTACAACAAAAACATATAAAAATGTGAAAATTTGACAGCATTAGTCTGTTCATAAATATTATATGCTATTCAATTGTACCTAATTTATATAATTAAGACACTTTTGGGAATGGATTATGCAAATTTCATTAGAATGATTTTGGAAACAATAGACATTTTGGGGTATGGATTATGCAAATTTCATTAGAATGATTTGAAAACAATTAAAAACTGACAACTTTTACTACCATATAGGAATGAAAGATATAAAAATATTTTTATTTTTACAATACATTTATAATACAAAATATCACTGAATGATAAAAGGTTCCCTTTTTAGCTGTCGAAACAGACTTATGTATTTTGCAGCAACCCGTGCCTGGGGTGCAACAAAATGCTGGCAAAAAGTAGTTTTATCAACAATATATGGATACAATTCATGAAACTGCAGTGATTTCAAGAATGTCAACACAAATGAGTAACAATTATGATCATCTGCATTATACCTGAAAGATAAAAATAAATACTGAAAACATAAAATTAACTATTTTCTAAACAAAAATAAGTATTTTCGAAAGTTTCATACTCAAACATATTTTTGCTATCAATACATTAATATTTCTATACATTTTCAAGATTAAATACAGTCCTGTAAAGACCTTATAAATTTAACATAGAAATTAACAAATTTTTATGATTTGGATTTTTACTACAATTTCTCTTTTCTATTAACCCTCACCAGAACGCAAATGAGATTTTAAAATATTTAACAAGAGGATTTTGAATGTTTTATACATAGAATTTTTGGCAGTTGCACTTGAAGCTTTACTTTCTATCGCCCAGCCCTGCCAGTTAATATTCTGGCATTAGCAATTTGCTAGCCAAATTATTTCTCAATGTTAGAGTTGAGTTAGCTTAGTTAGACCAAACCTCTGTAGTCTCAGCTACAATCCCTTTTTGAACAGTAAATTCAACTTTATGTCATTTTACTTCACATTATGTTCGCAAGTGACGGAATTTTTAGAGCATGCGCAAGTTGCACTTTCTGTTCAATTCAAACTTAAATAAAAAGGTTTATTTAAAACCTACATAAAATTGTTATACACTTTCAGATGGATCAATAACTTGCTGTCAGTCAAAAAGGGTCTTAAGTTTATGCTATACAATTAGGACTCTGTAGCCTTCCAGATTTAATTATATGTTACCAACATTTTTTTTCTTTATTAAGCAAATAAAAGAATATGTCAAACTGTATGTTATCATAAATTTAACTTTGATATATTTCAGACTAAAATACTAAAATGTGTGGCATATTTAAATAAATTACAGTAAACTGAAAACATAGTAACAGCATGGCAAAGGACACAAAATAAAGCAATTAAGCATGTAAATAAAAACCTTTTACTGAAACAGAAAACAGAGCGATATATTTCACTCTGATGCTATATTTCACTCTGATGCTATCTTACCTATCTGCAGTCCAGCACTCTTGTTGAAAAACTTCATTTAAAACTTTGTCCCAGTAAGATCGCAAATGATCTCGCCGGAGAATTTCAATACAAAGGCACTGCTTCCAGTTTTCTCCATTACTTTTAGTTAAGCCATGACTATCATATTCAAAAACATTTCCTGAAAGTTAAGAATATAACCTAAACATTTAATTCACAACTAAAATTTATTTTTAATAATTTCAAAAAAAAAAAAAAAAAAAAAAAAGGAAAAGAACTAGCAACCTCAAAATCACTTCTTTAGATTACCTCATATATAATTTGTTGAATTTAAAGTCAAATGTTAACTCTGAAACAGCATGTTTGAAAATTTATGAAATATATCTGCGATTTTATAATTCTTTAATAAGTCTTTTTCGAATTTCTATCAGTTATAATAAGCAAAATAAAGAGTATGACCACTTTAAATTACCAGAAAAATAATTTTTTTACTCACAACAGTACTTTTGAGTTCCAAAGCAAGATTTGATGCACCTTAATGGTATATTAATTAATAAATTAATTTACAAGATTTAAGATTAAACTTCAAAATTTTTGCAACATTCCTCTGAAAGATATATAAAGATATGAACTATAATCTGAAGAGCATATTCAAATATGTAAAATAATTTTGCAAAATGGCAGAATTGTATAATTATAAAATTTTGAGATATTTACTAGTAAATTTAGGTACAGATTTGTTGACTCTTGTTTCTTAAGCCATGCACTTAGATTCACAGAACATAGTGGACGAATATTTTCTTAAATTATTCAGCAGATTTACTTTTTTATTTTATGCAGACTTGCTTAAGAGCAAATTTTAATTTTCAAAATAATCGGATATCTTTACCTCTTACTAGGACATGACAAGGGGGATTATAAATTAAAAATAAACTATCACTTAAGACACAATAACACGCCGAATAAATACTAATTCAGAAGTCAAACAACAAAAATCAGCGTTATACCTACAAAACCTACGAACCATCATCTTCAGCTGCAAAACCGCAAATGGTTTTGCAGCTGAAGATGATGGTTCGGTAAAACCATCGAAACTAGTCCTGTGAAAATTTTGTAGGTATAACGCTGATTTTTGTTGTTTGACTTCTGAATTAGTAAACTATCACTTAGAAGAACTACAGCCCAACTAATAATGATTGAAAACTGTTAAAACATTAGTTGAATATTTATAATGAACTCACTAACCAAAATAATAGAAGGTTCCAAGAAATTGAACAGATACAATACTGGGGGGTTTCACCATAATTTGTAGCAATATCTAATATGCCATGAAAAATCTAAATAAAGTAATAATATGATTAAAATATCAAAAGAAGTGGACTAATATTATTGATTTTGTGATAATATACACATATACAATGATGATGACATGATCAAATATGGACATCATGATTTAGAATTTGTGTTAATAGGAAAAAACAGGACTTTAAACACAGTTTTATAAATGTATCATGAAAATAATTATCACATTTGTATAATACAAAGAGAATATAATACGGTCAAATGCCACTATGATGAATTTCAAGGGGGCAGAAGTTTACTTTGCTGTAACTGATGGTTTATTATATGCCATTAGAAAGGGAAAATGATTTATCTTACAAAAACATATAAAAATTGAATAATGAATCATAAAAAACTTTACAATGTCACACCTACTGAAAAAGTGAATAATAAATCTAACTTAAAAAAAATCATATCATGATTTAATTGCAGTTATTATTAAAAGGAAGATAACTTTGTCACAAATGTGTCTTATCCAATGAAATGTTATCCTTTACTACAAGATATGTATGGTTACAAAGCAAAGATTAGGTTATGTTCATAAAGAATCAATATCCCATCTGACAAAAGAACTAAATAATGCAGAACTTCCATTCAGAAAATAGAGCTTGGAGAGCATTTATTCCCAAGCAAAACAAACCGATAAGGCTCAAAATCTCATTGCCTAAAAGATGAAAGTTCACTATTTCTTCTTTCCCTGAACAGCAAAAATTTCCATCACAGCATGCGTAGCCTTGAATAGAGTTCTGTCTGACAGCTCAATCAAAGAATTTAAAAGGAATCAGAGACACCTGTTTTTATACTTCGGTTCAACAGTTGCATACATCATGTAGCATCCTAATATATTGTTTCATGCATACATGTTCAGAATTTATTGAATGCACACAAGTCTGACAATAGATTAATAAAATTTATTTTATCAAAAGAAACACTTCAGAGTTCTGGAACTTTCCAGAAAAATACTAGTATAGTACAGTTCTTCACAGCATCACAGAGCACAATCAGCATTGACACTTCAAACTACTAAGAACATTAAACACAATGCAATGCAAAGCACAGCTGAAGAGCAAAGCTAATCCAGAGATATCTCAGTATTCCAAATTCACGCTGAACTATCAACTACAACAACTTACAACTGGAGCAGATGCTCTCTTGGCCTTATATAGTTTTCCCCCGGGTGCCAAAAGATGTCTGAAATTACTAGAAGGCATATGAGGCTGGGTATGGTTACAGTTGCATATGAAATCAATTACAGTTATTCAATTAAAATACCTAAGACAAAGTTGATATACATATATTTTTATAAAGTGTTGCAATACTGTAGTTAAATTAATTGGTCTGTCATACTTTGGATTTTGGAGTTAAGAATGCATTTTTCAATTCTAGGTAAAATGCTGGAACTGAATCATACTGGCAAGCCAAAATACATTAAACTAAACAATTAAGAATTATCAGTTAATACTCCAAATACAATACTTTTATTTCACACACACACACACCAAAAAAAGGGGGGAAGAAAGAAATTAAAAGAATTATATTTCATATAAATAAATAAAAATAAAATGAAATAAAAAAATCTGAAAGGTTTCAGATTTTAAATTACATCCAAAGGGGCATTTTTTAACATTTTGTGTATTACCTTTATTTATTAAATATTATGTTCTTTGAACTTAAATCATAAAATTCAGTTCAAGAGCAATATTGCAAATTAATTTTAAAATAAGCATATCTTTAGAATTTCCGATACACAGTCTTGCACACTGGTGATAAAAACTTTTATTTATTTTATTTTATTTTATTTATTTATTTATTTTATTTATTTATTTATTTATTTTGCACAATGTTGTAATTGCTCGCTTTGAAATCCTTGAGTTTGTTAATGAAAAGTTCATTAAACTTTTACAAAATATGAAATCGATAATATAACAAATTTCAAATTTGGGCTTCCAGATACCCATATTCGCCTTTAAATGAGAAAAGGACATTATAACTTTAGTCATTGCTTCCTTCAACAAAACATACCTATGCAATACCATATCACTTAAGTGAAAGTGTTAAGTTAAACTCCGTGTGTAAAAAAAAAATAAAAAAAAAAACCCAAGAAGGACTTTTGCAATCGTGAAGAAATTTGGTATGCAAAAACATCTTGATTGAAGTTTCAAGGCAAATGAACAGGAACTGCGATCATAGTGCGCAATTCACAAGGTATAAAACCAGTAACAGAGGCGGAAAATATATATACAGTCAAAAGTCGTTAATTCGGACACCCATAATCCGGACCTTAAAGCTACAAACTTTCTGCGCATGCGCATAAGACTTTTACGGCTACGAATATGCGTGTGAGCATACGCGTAATACGTTTACGCTTGCGCGTTTAATGTATAACGGACGGTATAAGCTAAGCTAAAATTATCTAATTCAGTTAATGTTGCAGATTGCGTTGTTCATTAATCTTCGAATTGGATCCGGCTTATTATTTTTTCCAGACTTAGAGCAATTTTATAAAAGTAAGCCTGAACTTTAGATTATGTCAAATAGAATTTCCGATATATGTTTACTAATATGTAAAGGATCTACAAAGCGAAAGTATGTTTCGAAGTCCATTAAACAAACAGTGGAATTGCTACAAAAAATGGATAAAGGCATATCCTGTGTTCATTTAACCATTCCGAAATATGTTTATCAATTACACGCTGCTCTGCGGCGGAGGAGGGGGGACGCGTCGCCGCACGATGAATTGGAAGTTGATCTGTCAGCACTATCCTTATCTTCAGGGCAGATGTTTTTATTTTATTTGGCTTATAATTCCTTACTAAATGTAGTATTTCATCTCGATGTACTCCATCTTTGATATGATTTAAATCAAATTCCTCGTCATTATAATTCGCTTCCGATAGCGAAGAAAGTGACACAGATGTTATTGAAAACGAAAAAATTTCGATTGACAAATTAGTCGGTATTCTCGATACAGCAATTACAGGACTTGAACAGCGGAACTTTGTAACTGAACAAGAAATTATGTCTGTTTATAGAATTAGAGAAAGTATTATCACATAAAACGAAGCAACTTGCATTGAAAGAAATGTTTAATAAAGTAAACAAATAAATATTAAGCTTTTTTTTTTTTTGTAAATTTTGATACCCTTTAGATCATAATTGTTCTTTATTTCATAAATTACGGTTTCATATTTTTAATTTTATAATTTCTGCATGCCTGCTTACCAGATTTAAACTAATGATCTATAATCCGGAAAAATCGATAATCCGGAATCGCCGAAGTCCCGACGAGTCCGTATTAACGACTTTTGACTGTATATATATATATTATTATATATATATATATATATATATACGGTATATATATATATAGATAGATATATATATACTGTATACATATATATATATATATATATTTTGGCTGCGACTGTAATTCCGTAAAGAAGCAACTAAAGATGCCATTACGATGATATTGAAGACCTTACAGACAACTAAATGACTTTGAACGTGGTCGCACTGTAGGGTTGCATGAAGCTGGGTGATCATACCGAGCAATAGGCTGCCACCTGCAGCGTACAGACACTGCTGTGCAAAGATGTTGGCAGCAATGATTGTTACAAGGAAATTGCCCATGAAATGAAGGCTATGGAAGGCCAAGGAGCACAAATGCGAGGCAAGCTAGGATGATTGTTTGCCAGGCCCGAACTGCTCCAATGGTATCATTGTCGACTATTCAATAACTACAGCCACATCTATACCTCTCGTAGTATCATTCACCATCTCACGGCACTTGTCCAAGGCAAGGGTTACGCTCACAGAGGCCTTAAGACATTTGCCTTTGAC